TTTTTTTTTTTTTTTTTCTTGACAGGGTCTTACTCTGTCACCCAGGCTGGAGTGCAGTGGCACGATCACAGCTCACTGCAGCCTCCACCTCCTGGGTTCAAGCAATCCTCCCAATTCAGCCTCCTGAGAAGCTAGGATCACAGGTGTGCACCACTGTGCTTGGCTATTTTTTTAAAATTTATTTTTTGCAGAGTTAAGGTCTCAGTATGTTGCTCAAGCTAGTCTTGAATTCCTGGGTTCAGGTGATCCTCTGGCCTTGGCCTCCCAAAGTGCTGGGATTACAGGAATGAGCCACCAAGCCTGGCCTGTTTATATATTGTTGAATGTACTCTACATAACATTTGAATTGTTCAAAACGATGTAGATCAAAAAGCAAACTTCCTCCCATGTTTGCCCCCACCTCCTTATTTCTCCTAACCAAAGTTTATTCTTTCAGAGGAATTTCATACACATATATAGGTTGGTTGTTTAAAAAAATTTAGTCCTATGTATGTCCATTCACAGAAAATTGTAAAAATGAGTACAAGTACACTTTCTTCTGCAAAAGGTGTCATAATGAGATTTGGATATTATGCGACCATTTATTTTGGAAAGATGAGATGTGCACTAAAGACAACAGCATCAAAATCACGTTTATGAAGCTCTTTCCTACTCTGTTGCAGTCCTGGACCTAGTTACTTATTTATTTATTTATTGAGCCAGAGTCTCACTCTGTCACCCAAGCTGAAGTGCTGTGACACGATCTCAGCTCGCTGCAACCTATGCCTCCCAGGTTCAAGCGATTCTCCTGCCTCAACCTCCTGAGTACCTGGGATTACAGGTGCCCTCCTCCACCACATCCGGCTAATTTTTGTACTTTTAGTAGAGACGGGATTTCGCCATGTTGGCCAGACTGGTCTCCAACTCCGGGTCTCAGGTGATCCACCTTCCTCGGCCTCCCAAAGTGCTGGGATTACAGGTGTGAGCCATCACACCCAGCCAGTAATTTATATCTATTACTTCCTAATGACAACCCTGTTGGGTAGGTACTACTTCACAGATAAGAAAACTGAGGGCTTAGAGATGTGAAGTGACTTGCCCAAAGAATTTGGGGATTAGAACAAGATTTTTGGCGCTGGACTCTGAGCCTTAACCACTGTACTCTACTATCTCCACATGGTTATAGACTATAATGCATCCAATATTCAGAACTAGTGCCACATGTGTAGGTACTTAAGCAGAGCACTGAGAAAGCCAAACCCAACCAAAACAAAACAAAAAACCTAGCTCCTTCAGGCAAGAAATGGCTTCTCTCCTGGTCTCTCTGGTTGAGTGTTGGTGCCAATTATACCATACTGCAATTTATATCAAAGGCTTAGAAATTAGATGATTGAGACTGGGTTTATGTTTGATATACTCAGTAATGCTAAGCTTTGTTTTGTTTTTGTCAGTTTTAATCAACCAATAATTTTAGTTTATAATAATAAAATAAAATTCACCATTGAAACCAATGCTTTTAAAATGCAGCTTTTTTTTTTTTTTTTGAGTCAGAGTCTCTCCCCGTCATCCAGGCTGGAGTGCAGTGGCATGATCTCAGCTTACGGCAACCTTTGCCTCTTGGGTTCAAGTGAGTCTCTTGCCTCAGCTGCCAGAGTAGCTGGGACTACAGCTGTGTGCCACCATGCCTGGCTAATTTTTATATTTTTAGTAGAGATAGAGTTTTGACATGTTGGCCAACCTGGTCTTGAACTCCTTACCCTAAGTAATCTGCCCAACTCGGCCTCCCAAAATGCTGGGATTACAGGTGTGAGCTGCTGTACCTGGCCTTAAAATATAGCTTTTGATAATGCAAGTCCTCTTTTTTGTTTTCATTTTCTCTTTCCCAGGAATGAAATTATTTTGGTAGAGCAGAATGAGCAGGACATCACTACAGAGCATCCCTTGGTGGTCCTGGGGAATATTGCACAAGGTGCCTACCTTTGCTTGGGTGTGTGCTCCTGTCAGTTGTGTAAAGCCAAATGAACTTGAAGCAGATTGTGTGGTGATAATTCATATTATAGACACTTTAGCATTTACAGTAAGGATTGGTCTTCTTACTTGCAACTTCTGCTAGTGATACAATGTGAGGATGTGAGATACCCTTAGTGCTTCAACTTTGAAACAAAAATTTAAACTATTCCTTTTTCAAACTTCTGAATTGTTACCATTTGCAAATACTTCTCTGAGTAGATTGGAGTTTTGTTAATATTAAGCAATCCAATAGAAGGGGTAAATGGGATGTTGACCCTGATAGGAGATTCCAGTGATCTTTCACAAATCCCTGATTTCAAATCTTGGTGTTCAGCAAAACAGCTTCCAAAGGTCATTGATTTCTTTATAATTAGCAAAAGCTACAAAATTGAATTCATCAAATAAATGTATAGTAATGGAATTGTGTTTTACTTCGTTTTATAAATGAGGTTCAGTTGAAGAAAGAGTTCATTTGCTAAAGGCATTTGAAAAACCAGTGAATTGGATCACTGTAGAGAGGTTACTGTAGGATGCTGAGAGTTCAGAGTGTCTGCAGGAGAATGGAACACAGAACATGAGTTCCACCATGATCTGGCTAAGATGAAATGTATGGATCGTGGACCTGAGTAGATTAAGGGAAGGAATTGGTTCAAAGGAAGTGCCAAAGTTAGCAGGTTTGGACTGTTAACTGGGAGCACATTAATTCACTAATAAGAATAAGGAGGTGGGTGGATGGATGAGAAGTTAAATCCCTTCATCTGGGAGGCAGGCTTACGTCACATATTTTCAAAAACTATATTAGATTGATAATTGAGAGTGGTTATTTTATTCACCATTAATCTATATTTCATCTTTTTGAAAAAAATAGTAATTATGATCACAAGATCACAAATCAAAATCTAAATTATTTGTCATTCGTTTAAATTTTTTCTTAAATCCAGTTATTAGTTGTTCATGAAAGGTAAAAACTATCTTCCCTTCATTGCAAATATTTCCTGTGACAGTGTTTCCCAAGAAGGCAGGAGCATTCATGAACACTTAAAGGTAAAGTATTTCTTAATACAATATTATGTATATTATCAGTTAATTATAATTTCTGAACACCAAGTCCAAGCAACTTCCATTTTTACTGTCTGTGGATTTTGCAATTTTTCCAAGAGATGGAGGAAGGACAAGGGGTGGAGATGGCTTTCTTTAATGTGTATGTAACTAAGTGTACTTAGCTTGGAGACAGGAGAGATTGGAGAAGAGGGTCAAGTTATAATAATAGCTAAAATTTACTGAAAACTTGCTGTTTACGCAACACAAAAGCTTTACCTGGGTTATTTCATTTAAACTCCACAACAACCCTGTGAAGGTGGTGCCGTGGTACATCTACCACAAATATAACAGGAAAGTGAGGAGTTTCTCAAATGCTCCCATTACAGTCCTAATTACAAAGAACTGAGAAGATATTTCATGAGACACAGAATAAAAACTTTTCCCCACCATAAGGACATTACACCAAGAGAGGCAGAAATGGTCATAATTGTTTCTTTCTTTTTTTTTTTTTTTGAGACAGAGTCTTGCTCTGTTACCCAGGTGGGAGTGGAGGGGCATGATCTTGGCTCACTGCAACCTCCCCCTCCAGGTTGAAGTGATTCTCCTGCCTCAGCCTTCGAGCAGCTGGGACTACAAGTATGCACCACCGCACCTGGCTAATTTTTTGTATTTTTAGTAGAGACAGGGTTTCACCATGTTGGCCAGGCTGGTCTTGAACTCCTGACCTCAGGTGATCTGCCCGCCTTGGCCTCCTCCCAAAGTGCCAGGATTACAGGCTTGAGCCACCATTCCTAGCCTGGTCATAAATGTTTGTGTGTGTGTGTGCGCGCGTGCGTGCACGCTTCCAAGAGTAGTTCTTGTGCACAGAAAATATAATTTTGATGCTATTTTTAGAATATGTGATTTGTTAAAATTACAAGAGTATAATTATTCCTTAGTTTTTTTTTTTTTTGTTTTTTTTTTTTGAGACGGAGTTTCGCTCTTTTTACCCAGGCTGGAGTGCAAAGGTGCGATCTTGGCTCACCACAACCTCTGCCTCCTGGATTCAGGCAATTCTCCTGCCTCAGCCTCCTGAGTAGCTGGCATTACAGGCATATGCCACTATGCCCAGCTAATTTTTTGTATTTTTAGTAGAGATGGGGTTTCACCTTGTTGGCCAGACTGGTATCGAACTCCTGCCCTCAAGTGATCCAACCACCTTGTCCTCCCAAAATGCTGGGATTACAGGCCTAAATCACTGCGCCCGGCCCCGTTCAATTCTGAAACCAGCTACCTGGAGACATCCAACAGGTTGAAGGCTCAATTTCACAAGATTGCCTCCCCACACTTCTGATGACAATTGTAAGCTCTGCCCAGGCTGTTTACCTGTGCTTCTGAGCCATCAGTTCTAAATTGGGGATCCCATAACCCCATCCTTAGGTTCAAATAATTTGCTAGAATGGCTCACAGAACTGTGGGAAACACATAAATTTACTAGAAAGATGGTACAAAGAATACAGATGAAGTGATGCATAGAGCAAGGCATGGGGGAGGGGCATAGAACGTCCATGCCTTTCTTAGGTGGACTACCCTCCAGGCACCTGGACGTGTTCAGCACCCTGAAGCTCTCTGAACCCTGTCCTCTTGTGCGTTTATGGAGGCTTCATTATGTATGCATGATTGATTAAACCTTTGTTCATTGGTGATCAACTCAACCTTCAGCCCTTCCCCACCCCAGAGAGGTTGGAGAATAGGGCTGGAAGTTCCAACCCTCTACTCAGGGTGTGGCCTTTCCAGTGATGAGCCTCTTCCTGAAGCTACTAGGAGCTGCCAGCCACCACCAGTCAACTCATTAGCATACAGAAAGACATCACTTTGAGGATTCCAAGGATTTTAGGAGTTTTATTACCAGGAAATGGGGATGATGACTAAATATATATTTTACAATATCACACTTAAATTTATTCCATTTATTTATTTATTTATTATTCAGTCTCTGTAGAGACTGTCAGAAATTGCCGATGCCAACTATGTTGCAAGTCATCACAATGGGGCATTGGGAAAAGTTTTCAATTAGCAATAATCGCACCTCGGATAAACCTCATTGGCTATGACACTGCCACTGGGCAAAGCTATCTTATTCCATTTATAACTCTAGCAAACTTTAACAACCCAAAGGCATTCGATTAATGTTCGATCCCATTAACTTAATCACCTCTAAACATTTTTAACTTCATTCATGAATTTAATATATTTGTTTCATTTGTAAAGATCTTTAATTGTCTGATTAGCAAGTAACTCAACATCTAATAAATTTATAAATATGGTAAATCTTAAGTTCTAGCGAGTGTTCCAATACTGTTTATTAACTTAATAAGACTATTTTCAGCTCATTAATATCCAGGTATTAAATTACACATTTTAAAACTTGAAGTACAAGGCAAATGGTTACTTCAGCAGGCCAAGTTCTCTTACATGTTAACATTACATAGAATTCCAAATGTGCCCAAATTCCTTAAAACAAAATATTAATATTACAGGCTTGAATCTTTTAAACATTTCATACTCAATTTTCAGTCTCCCCAGGGTTAAAATGCTCATCTATTAATAATTTTGATATTTATTTTTATGTATGTATTTATTTTTTTGAGACGGAGTCTTGCTCTGTCACTCAGGTTGGAGTGAAGTGGCACTATCTCGGCTCACTGCAACTTCTGCCTCCCGGGCTTGGGTAATTCTCTGCCTCAGCCTCCCTAGTGGCTGAGACTACAGGCACATGCCACCATGCTCGGCTAATTTTTGTATTTTTAGTAGATACGGGGTTTCACCATCTTGGCCAGGCTAGTCTTGAACTCCTCGCCTAAAGTGATCCATACGCCTTGGCCTCCCAAAGTGCTGGGATTACAGGTGTGAGCCACCTCACCTGGCTTGATATTTCTTTTTAAAAGCAATGTTGACTGGGCGCGGTGGCTCACACCTGTAATCCTAGCACTTTGGGAGGCCGAGGCGGGCGGATCACGAGGTCAAGAGATCGAGACCATCCTGGCCAACGTGGTGAAACGCCGTCTCTACTAAAAATACAAAAATTAGCTGGACATGGTGGCACGCGCCTGTAGTCCCAGCTACTCGGGAGGCTGCGGCAGAATTGCTTGAACCCGGTAGGCGGAGGTTGCAGTGAGCCGAGGTCTCGCCATTGCATTCCAGCCTGACTCTGTCTCAAAAAAAAAAAAAAAAGCAATGTTTATGGTCTTCTCAGTAGGGCAGGGTTTTTTGTTTTTTGTTTTTTTTTTTTTTGAGAGACAGAGTCTCACTCTGCCACCCAGGGTGGAGTGCAGTTGCGAGATCCTGGCTCATGCAACCTCCATCTCCTGGTACAAGCAATTGTCATGTCTCAGCTCCCCAAGTAGCTGGGATTACAGATATGTGCCACCACGCCCAGCTAATTTTTGTATTTTAGTAGATATGGGGCTTCTCCATGTTGGCCAGGCTGGTCTCGGACACCTGCTGATTCACCTCACTTAGCCTCCCAAAGTGCTGGGATTACAGGCATGAGCCACCAGCCCGGCCACTAGGCGGGGTCTCTTAACCACTGTAGAGTCCCAGTTTTTACCCCACCCTACCGATGGTATAACAAAAATGCCACAATCTAAAAAGGTGACCGTCACTTAAGTCAGTTTCCTGGATTCAGATTGCAAGTTACCATTCTTAATAGGGTCATAATTCTAACAGATATTTAAATGACTTTCAGTAGACTCTCCGAGGGTTTGCTGCTTCTCTGTCTACAGCTGTAAAGTTATGCTCTTGACAATAAGTTCAGAAAGATTTTAATTTTACAGAATCTCTTAGGACCTTAGGTATATGCTGCATTTTGTTTTCTACTCAATGCTTTTCTTTGTGGAGCATAGGGACAAAAATTTAAAAACTACACTTTAATTTGATTTTCAAAAGTGAAAACAAAAAGTCATAACACTTGTGTGTTATGACTGGTGCAATTTAGGAAATTAAATACCAGAGATTAAAGGTTCAGCAATACAACTTCAAGATCCAAGATGTTAAGACACAACATTGTATATTTATAAGTTTTGTTAGGGAGTTAACGTAGGTGTGGCGGGAACAGATGCATTTTCAGGTGGGACTGGAATGGTACCCGGGGGATGAACAGCAACAAGCTGTGTCTAATGAGAAAATTCATGCTTGAAAAATGAAATATTAGGCTATGTTTATTATTCTGTGTCGTTCAGTCACTCATTAGCAGTTCAAGTGATGATTGCGGTTTTCCATGCAAACAGGCGTGGGGACCCAACCTCAGGCGCCATTTGGGAAATGCCTTCCTGAGTCAGGTCCCTTGGCAGATTTCATAGCTTTCCTCCCAAATGTTTTATTAAGAGACATTTCAAACATATACAGAAGTTGAAATAATTTTATACATATACAGAAGTTGAAATAATTTTATACAAACACCCATAAGCCCACAACGTAGATGCTCTGAACATTCTGCCATTCTTCTATCACGTTATTTGTCCGTCCCTCTCCCCATCGGCAATCCTCCCCATAACTGTGGGGTCGGGGTTAGGAAGCTTAAGGTGACTCAGGTGGCGATTCCGAAGGGTGCTGCTGGATCACCTCCAGCTTCAGCGTCCGGGCTCACCGGGGCATTTCCTCCCTAACCGAATTCCAGGAGGCAGGAGGCCTGCTCGGCAGGGCGGGGGGGCACCTGGGCTGGGCTGCGCCAGCGAGAGGAAGCACAATGAGCGGCGGCCACAGGCGGACAGCCGGCGCTGAGCGCGGGCGCGGGACCGCTACGTGCGCGGGGTGCGCGGGGCTGCGCTCGTGCGCTCGTGCGCTCGTGTGCTCGTGTGCGCTCCCGCCGCCGCCGCCGCCACCGCCGCGCGCCTTTGAGTCAGCAAACTCCGCGGCCCGCAAGCCTTGCGCGGCCCTGCCCTGCTCTGCCCGGAGGAGTCGCCCGTAAGTGAGAAGAGACCCGCTGAGGGGGCTTCCCCAGCGCCGCCTGGGTGGGGACATCGGCCCTTCTTTCCAGAGGCGCTGGCCCTTCCCTCTGCACCGAAGTACCTGCACCCTTGCGGGCTGGGAAGGTTTGGGTCCCCTGGGCTTGGAGCAGAGGAGCCGCCTCCTTTTAAGCCGAGGTGTGCCAGGCAGGGAGAAATGGTCAGCTGGCTGCTAGAGCGGGGAGACGGAGCGTGAGGATCCAGGGGTTCTAGCCTAAAAAGACACCCCGGGGAGAAGGTGGGACAGAGGTGAATTCTAGATTATGGAAGAAGTGCTGTGGCACCTTACACAAGGCCGGGTTGGGCAGAGGTGGGGGCCGGCGACAGGGACTTTTTTTTTTTTTTTTTTTTTTTTAATTCGTGAACGGGTAGCTTTGAGTTGAGGAATTGGGAGGGGTAGGCAGGTTTATTCGTGGGATTGTGGCATTGTGGGAGAAGGCCCGAGGGAAAATTCATATTGACTGATTATCAGATTTGGTGACCAGGAAAGCAACAGCCTGTTTTTCAGTGCCGATGTATCATACTTTTCCCAAATTACACGGATTATTCAGGGGGCTGGTCATAGAATGGGGAGCAACATGTCCTGCTGAAAGGAAGGGCTTCTATCTCTGCACTACACGTTAAGAATGGTGGAATTAGAAAATTAGAGCAGGGAGGAGGCTTGCACATGATCTCCATCAAACCTTTCATTTTACAGACAGGGAGGAGGCAAAGGCCGGGGGAAGCCGAGTATTGTGGCCAGGATCATTCAGCCAGATAGGAGCAGAACTAGGCCTACAAGCTGGCGGGCTTCTGACTTCCACCCCAGTTACGTCCACCTTTGGGGCCTGGGAACTGGGTTTGGATTGCGTAAACTCCTCCTCCTCTCCTGGGAGGGGGCTGGGCTGGAGGGCTGAGGCCTTCACCCGGAAGAAGCGGGCACTGCTTGGATAGTTGACCAGCCTCTGCCGGGCTCCTCAATGGGAGAATGGAGGTGAGGTCAGGGACTTCTGCCTCGCCTTTGCCATCACTTCCAGTGATGCCTATTCCTAAGGTAGGTACATAGCTGGACCTTTATTCTTCTTTTTTTTTTTTTTTTTTTCTTTTGAGACAGGGTCTTAGTCTGTTACCTAGGCTGGGGCGCAG